AAATCCGTACCTATGTTCTGACTGTCACTCCTGTGACCTCTGTTCTGTTCTGTTCAGTGCTGTAGTTATGGTTATTTATTTACATAATTTCTGTATTTTAGTTTCTACCACTTAAATGATTTATTCACCAAACTGAGTTATGTAAATGTTTTTGCCTAACTAATTATCCATGGTTATTTCGTGTCTCTTATACTCTTGGAATAATGTTTCTCACTCTGCCATGTGCTTATAGCTGTTTACCAATTTTCAGGAAACAGGCAATTCAGAAATAGATTTTGGAAAGTCTTAGATGCGAGGCTGCGGAATAGACATACACAACACTTTTATTGATATTTTTCTATGTAAATATCGGCATTTTTTATCAATATAATTTTGTAATAAAAGTAGAAGTTTCAATGATTATTTTGGTACTCTCATTTAAATATTACTTCCGCTCGCGTTTATTGATTTGTTTAAGAATTAGTCGGAGGTAACCTCAGTTACTGGTCATCACGATACTTAACCCTTGGATACGGGGAGCGGGCCGTGACAACTTCAAACATGAAAAATTATGTATATGTATTACATAATTAAAAATAAGGATAATTATAAAAAATAAAAAATAAATTCAGAGTTTGAGCTTTATACTCCCTCCGTCCCAAAATATTAGTCCCTTATTCCATTTTTCATTGTCCCAAAATATTAGTCCCTCTTCAAAAACCAAGTACAAAAATAATATAAATTTCCTATTTTACCCTTCTTTTAAATTAATAAACAACATAAAAAGTACAATTATGCATTGATATTCCCAAAAAATGTACTATCAAAAGGATAATTTTGGAAAATCAACTTTTTTCAAATGCAATAATTATACTACAAAAAAAAGTTGAATTCCCCAAAAGGGACCATTATTTTGGGACGGAGGGAGTAACAAAATAAGCTCTGATTTTTTGATTTTGTCAATTTAAACCAAAATATTTTGATTTATTTTTAATTTAAATCATTCGTCTATTTTCGTTAAGTAAAACCGATTAAAAAAAGAGTATTTTAGTTATTAAACTCAATGTAAATATACATAAAATGTTTAAAATATATTTTTCACAAGTTTAATGATTAAAATACTCTTTTTCATCAATTTTATTTAACAAATATAGCAAATGCAAACAATTCTATAGTATAAAGTTTAAATTGACAGCATTAAAAACACATAATTTATTTTATTACATGACTCAAACTTTGAAGATTTTTTTTATTTTATAATTTACCCTTAAAAATATTCACTTTTTTAAGTCACCAAATAAAATGGTTGTACACACTGAGATTTGAACACACTTTTTATTATGTTATTACTTCATGTTTAATATATAAAATACATATATAAATGATTGGTCTTTTATCAATTTTACATCTCAATTTGAGATCATATTTCGATTTTATTTTATAATGTCCTCCATATAATCCATAAAAAAATAGTTTGAATTAATCCAATAATCGTAATCAAGGATGGTCCTAGAGGGGGGCCGAGGGAGTGATCGCCCCCTTATGATTTAAAAAACACCATTTATTGCAGTAGTATTAGTTATAATTATTTACATATCATAGAGACTCGCCATTCTATGATTTTTTTATAGAAAAATTTTAAGTAGTTGTCACTCTATATATGTGAAACATAGGATTAAAATATAATATTAAAAAAAATAGACAAAAATAATAATAATAATTCTTTATTATAACTATTGTTAATTACAAGTTCAAGTTTCTAAAGAATCGAATAAGGTATTAGCTAATTACTTAATCACATTCATTGAGGAAGACATTGTACAAGATTTTAATATCGATTCTATGTCAAACACAACAATTCAAGATGCCTCACTTTAACGTATAGATTATTTAATAGTTGCTATTTTTTGTAACTAAATATGGATGCAAAAAAATGCTATTTATATTTTTTTTCATCTTATTTTCATTTTTTAAACTCGTAGAAATTGATATTATAATTTATACTTTCTTTTTACAAATTTTGTTAGTATATATATGTTCGCCCCCCATATGAAAATCTTGAGTCCGTCCTTAATTGTAATTTGCAACCTTTTTATTTTATCATATTTACCTCTAAAAGAAAAAGAAGAATGGTTTATGTTAAAAAATATACTTGCTATCTATTTTTTTGAAGACAAACATGATAAAAGGAAAATGTTACGATTATTAAATTAATTTAATTTTTTTTTATGGATAATATAAATTTAAAGTTCTACAAAATAAACGTTTCAGTCATCGAAATGAGACTCAAAGTTAGCCTCACGTGCCCTTCAAATTCAAATATGTGAACTTAAGAGTAGGGGTGTAAATTTGGCCCAGCTTGTCCCACCCGAAACTCGCGAGCTCCTATCAAAATTCGAGTCTGGCCAGGTTGGCCAGGCTCAGGGGGTATTTAGGCCTCGAGCCAGACCAGGCCTGGGCCTCGGCTTAGGTTTGGGCGATCCTGAACAATTTTTTTTTTGGTTTTTTAATATTTTTTCTACTAAAATTTTATTATTTTTTACTAAAAAAGACATTGGGCATTGGGCTGGCCGGGCTAGTCCAAATGATGTCCCAAGCCCAGGAACAGGGTCTTGGGCTGGGCTGGGCTCGGGCTTGGGCCCTAAAGGGCCTAAACGGGCCGGGCCTAAACGGGCCGGGCCCAGCGCAGGCGGGCTTCGAATCGCCTACGGACCGCAAGCTATTTTTATAACTCTATTATAAAAACTTATGCAATATGGCTAAATTATATTTTGCTCGGGGAGAATTCATGTGGTACTCTAATTTCAATTTGATTAGTTAAAATAGTGAAATCCACTTTTGTATATGTATATATATTTAGAGAGACAGGAAGGTTAGTGTTCTGGCGTGAATGGTGTGGAGTAAAATCTCAAGATTAATCAAATGTGTTTAGTTTCTCTCAAGTAATGTTTTAAAAATTAGATCAGTGAGCGAACTAGAAAAGTGGTCAGGTAGACAAGTCACTAGTTCAACCGTCGAGTTAAATTGAAATCGAACCATGACGTCATAATTATTTTATGAATATTTTTATAATTTAATATATATATTCATCAAACATATATGGTTATATATATTTTTTATATTAATATTGTTTGTAAAAATATTAATTATACTTGTGTTTGAAAGAAATTAATTTGAATACAATAAATATTATATATCTCTTATACATTAACAAGGTACTATGGTGACAGAGCGAAAATTTATGCTTTTTGAAGCTTGAGATGTTGGGTTCAAGAACTTGTAGCATCCATTTTTTTAATATTGGACCAAACATAACAAATCGGTTTGCTTCAACCCAAGCCAATTCGTACTGATTTGGCTTAAAAAGGTTGGTTTTCAAGAGGGAATGGTTTAGAGGATATAACTGACCGATTTGGTCCAATTTTCAAAACATTGCACTCAAAGTTGGAGCATTTGTATTTGGTGAGCTATTCTGACACTCACCTCTGTAATTCGAAATCATTCATTTTCGAAGTTTTATTTAATAGAATATTCATAAAAAATATCAAGATTGTTCGATTATTTTGACACTAACCTTGCTAATTTGAAATCATTTACTTTTTAAGATTTATTAAGTAGAATATTCATTAAAAAAATCAAAATTATTTAATATCGGTAATTATATATTTGAATTGTATTAATTTTAAAAAAAATAAATGACAAATATAATTTTAAAAATAATCATTCATTTATTGTTGAGTGTAGATCATCTGTAGCATAAATTTGTGGTGCAATCTATAGTTCTTTTATTTTTAGCTTGCCACGTCAAAAGTGAAACAAATTGATGGTTGAGATGAGGCCTAATCAAAATGATGTCGATTTTATTTTTATTTATTTATTTATTTATTTTTTTCTCTCAAAGACGAAGGAAGATGAGTACTATACGAAGTTGAGACCCAAGCGAAGGGAAGACGATGACTAGGTACACCAGCAACGGCGACACCCAAATCATGAGGAATATGTAAATATATATATATATATATATATTCAAATATAAATTTGATGGGAATTGAAGAACAATCAAAGCCAGAGGAACCTAAGCCCAAGTTGGAGGGGATAAAAGACATGTATTATTATCTCCAAACCCTTCTTGGTTCACAGCTAAAAGGTTTATCTTTAAGTTGTTTGTTTATTTATATATTTTATTGGGCATGTCATTAATTGTTGTTTGGTTTCTATTGGTTATTTTGAAAAGATAAAAATGTAATTATAGTATATCAGTAAGAATCTGAAAAATCTTTACAAATATTTATAGGGTACTTACGTGTACGTCTTAATAAATGAACTTATTATCTAATAGGTCTTATGAAAAAAATTTGTTACAAAAAAAGTCACTAATTATAAGTTTTAGCGACAATTTATAAAAATCATGACAAAAAAAAGTCCAACTATTATGACATATTAGTAGTTTATCCATATTTATAAAAATCATGACAATTTATATTATATTTTTTTTAGAGAAAATTATTGAAAAGTCCCATCTAGTAATTATGTAAGGCATTAGGTCTAGTGGATATTTTTGGCTGATAAGAGGTACACCCTCTGTGAAATAGTTTGCCAAGAAGTCCGTTGATTATTTTTGAGGACTTTTTATTTTCATTTTTACTCCTTAATGTATCTATTTGATTTTTTAAAACTATTTGTTTAATTTTTTTAAGTATTTGTTCAAATATTTTATCTATTTAATTTTTTGACTATCTGTTCAAATTTTTTTTATCTGTTTAATTTTTTTGACTATCTATCAAATTTGAGTCTGTCTGTTGGAATATCTATTCGCTGAAATTCCTTATTTGTTCAAATATCTGTCTAAATTTTATTATCTATGCAATTTTTCCACTTACCTATTTAAATCTAGGGCATTGCTTCCGACCCCCAGTGGCACCCTCAGTGACGTGACAGCGTGTGGTTGGCTGAAATCCAAAAAAAAAAAAAAAAACTATTTTTTTTAAATTCTTTTGATTATATTTTTGAAGTCTATAGTTATGATTTTCTATTAAATCCTTATGTTTTCACATTTTCAGTTAGTGGTTTTGTACTATTAAAAAACTCTTGCCAACTTTTGCATATAGTAATACTCAACAGGGGTGGAGCATACTCCTCTATCAGACAAATTAGGATTATGTAAATTGTTTTTGGCCTTGAGGATTTATTTTCTTATCTCCGTTATTTTTGTTGATTAATTTTCAGGGTTGCACAGATCGAATTGTTTTCAAACTCTTTAGAAAAGATCCAAGTGATTTCCCTATTGTCCTGCGGAAACAGGTATCTCTGTGCTGTGAAGTTACTTGAATATAGTTGTTTAATGTTACTTTAACAAATTTTTATTTTGTTAATTGTTTCAAATTTTTAGATACTTGACTGGTTATCTCACAGTCCTACTGAAATTGAAAGCTACATAAGACCTAGCTGTATCATATTAACTATCTATCTTTGATTAGGGAAATCCACATGGGAGGAGGTAAGCCTATCTGTCATTACTATGAATGAATACTGCTAATCCTTATCCCTGGAAAATCCCTTCTAATGCTTTTAGTGTTGCTGTGTACAGCTTTACTGTGATCTAAGCTCCAGTTTGACCACCAGTCATTGAAATTGCATCAAAGAGAGGTTTTTTTTTTTCTTTTCTTTCCTTACTATTTTCTTTTTGACGCTAAGCTATAATGGGAGGGATTTCACGGTTCATGTGCATTACAAATCAGCATTTGTATTTGGCTTTGGTTGAATGATAGACCATTGTGTTCCATATAATTCCAGCCTGTTTTTATCTAGAATATGATGCAATCAACTATTTATTTTTCACTTTAGTACTGGCTCAATATGTTCGGCTTTTTATTCAGATATCAGATACCACTACTAGAGATTTGATTTTTTGAGTGTGTGAGCGTGCCATTTATAGTATGATCAAACACAAGTGTGTGGTTATAATACTTTCCACTTGTACAATGAACATTTTGACCTAGCTTCTGGTGAGTAGGGCTCCAAAGATACAGCGACTGGTAACTCCACTGACTCTGCAGATGAAGTGAGCTAGGATTGCAGAGAATAAGAAGAGAATTGCAAAGGCCAAGGAAGAGGCAGTCGAATAATACATACTCCTCGCCACTAGGTTGATTTCCGTAATTGATTGCTTATTATACCATTTTCATTAGGGGGGTAAATTACACTTACACCCCCGAGGTTTGTTTATAATACAGTTTTCCCGTTGAGATTTTGGAAATTACACTAAATCTCCTGTCAGAGTTGGTCCATTAACACCTTTAATAGAAAAAATAAAATGATTGTGTTACTCTCAATTGAGGGTATGAATTTACCAATCTATCCTCACATCTTTCTCCTTTCCTTCTGCAACTCAAACACAGCCAATGACACAACCACCATCCATCACCTAGGACAATCATGATGCACCATCTTTTATCACTCACTACCACCTAACCCACTGTTACCATATGTTGAAAAAATAATAATTTTTTGGTGACTTTAATGCAATATTAAAGTAGATACCAGTCCTCAATTGAGGTGGATTAAAGTGGGTTTAGATTATTTATAATAAAATGTCTACACCACAAAAAAAAAAAAAGACTAAAAACCATTAAGATTTGAATAAGAAATTAACTCATTAAGTTGGTCTCATGAAACAGATGTTGGAAAAGGTGACTGTAAAATTATATACATTACACATGTGTATAAAATGGGTGTAACTCCTCTATAATGATGATGGATTAAAGCCATTAATTGAGAGTTTTGCAAAATTAAATCTCTTGCATTTGTTACAAGAGCATTTTCCTCTCTCCCTCCATGTGTATAAAAGGAAACCCTCTCTTTCATTTTTCAACATAAGAAATTTTTGCTATCTATGTGTGTTCAGAATTTTTCCTCCAAGTATTATAGTCTTCCTAGTGAGAGAGTGTTGTCTTAGTTCTGTTCGCCGAAACTACTCAGTCGGTGCATTGATGTAACTAGTCCAACCGTCATACCCCTGGGAGACAGACGTCGAACAACCTCTAGCACCCAACCGGTGAGGCGATGAATCTATTTTAAGGATATTGTATAGTGCAGGTCTCAGTTTGCTTTCTTTTTCCTGTTTTCTTTTGCTATGTTATTTTATTATGTATTATAATTTTTAGCATGGTTTGTTTGTTATGAAATTTTAATTGTCAATTATAAATCTATTTGGTTTATTTTATCACATAATTTGTACAAATATTTTAAAACAGATTAATATATTTCCCATGAAATTGTACAAATAGAATTCATGAATTAGGACCGTAGGTTCATTTACAAGGTGTATTTTTTTTTTTTTGGGATTGTGCACATAGCCCACTGTTTCCATTTACAGTGTATGTTTATAATGGAAAAAAAAAAAAAATTTATAAATTTTGTTCTGTTGTATATATACATAGCCCACTGTTTGCTTTGACCACGAATAAATAGATGTATTTTTTTTTTGGAACCAAAAAGTCCAAATAGGCTGGTGTTTATATATTAAATATATGCATAGGCTCCTGGGTGTTTGCTGTGGGTCAAAGAATATTTTGCTTTTTTCAAGTTGTTTGCCCACTGTTTTGTTTTATATCACAATGCATGCTTGTACATCTAATTGATTTGCATGCTACAAATTTCCTCACTGTTTCGTGATTAGAATATATATAGGCTACTATTGCATGCTTAGAAGAATAAATAAACACAGAAATATATCACTAGAAGAAAAAGTATTTTTAATTACTAATTTTTTTTTTAGTAGCCAAAAAGCTTCATTTTCAGTGATCAATCTGTTTTTAGTCGGCAAAACACCTATAATCGGCGATGAAAATGTTTTTTAGTCGCCAAAACCATCACTTTTGGCTACTAAATTATTTTAGTCGCCAACAACCGTCACTTTTGGCTACTAAACAATCTTTAGTCGCTAAAACTCCTACATTCGGCGACTAAACTGCCTTTTAGTCGCTAAAACCCCTGTATTCGGCGACTAAACTCTTTTAGTCGGCAAAAGTGTTCAATTTTGGCGACTAATTCGATTTTAGTCGCCAATTCTACTACTTTCAGCGACGAAAAATGAAGTTTTAGTCGCCAAAAACACTTTTTCTTGTAGTGTATATACATGCTGCTTTTACCACCGTTGCCCATTGGTATTTGCATGTTAATTTATAAAGTTTTGTAACTTGTCCATATTTCTTTGCATGTTATTTATTTTTTAGATTTAATTTGTTCATGCTTATTATTGTCTAGTACATTTGCATAATTTTAATTACTAGAGTTATTTGCATGTTTATTGTGAATTAAACTCATATGTAACTCTTTCCTAGTAATTTAATTTAATTATTTAAGAGTTATAAGGTTTGTGATTTATTTGAGAGTTAAAAGTGTTAATTGTATATTTATGTACATGATTATTATGTTATAAGTTCATATGTAACTCTTGCCAATTAAAATAATTATGTACATGTTTAATGTGTCATAAGTTTATATATAACTCTTGCCAATTAAAATAATTATGTACATGTTTAATGTGTCATAAGTTCATATATAACTCTTGCCAATTAAAAGTTTTAATTTTAATTGTGAAGTGATAAATTTTATTTTTGTAACTCATCTAACATTTTAATTAATTGGTTAATTTTATTATTTAATAGTTGGCTAGATGGTTTCAATTAATTTATTATATTTACATTTTGTTTAGATTGTTTGGCTTGTATTTTCTTATGTTTTTTTGGTAACTTTATTTACAGGAACACCTATGCGAGAGCGATTGGAAAAACAAATACAAAACCAAATGAATAGTATTTGGGATGTCAAAACAAAAATATTTGGACTACTGACCTTTGTGTTGAACAGGAATACCTAAACGTAGAAAGGTTTTTGGACTAAATAGAATCCTTATGGATTTTCTATTTTATTTAGATATTTGAAGCATTTTTTCCTTGAGCTTTCAATGTGGTTATTTACCAATTTGTAGAAGCAAGTTTTATTTGCTTGTATTGTTAGAAGCGTTTTATTTGTTTAATCATCGTTGTAGCAATTTTTTACATTGTTTGTAATTTGGTTAGCAATTTTTAAATTGCTTGTAAGTTTGGATTTGGTTTTCTGTAATAGAAACTGAGAGGGAGATTTATAGTTTGGCTTTTGGGCCATGGAAAAAGCCGGATAGGATGGGGTCGAGCAAGTTGGGGCCGAGCTAACTTGGGTTTACCGGAGTTGATTTTGGCCGGTCGTGGCCGGGGCCTGAGGGCGGTCTCATGTTTTGGACCGAGCTTCATCAGATTTGGACCTGTTCGGTCGAGGCCCATCCCCGAAGTCTACCTTTGCCGAGATAAGCTTCTGCTACCTAGGCTTTGTGGGAGCACAATTAGCTCGGTTATGCTGGAACGCTACCGAGCTCGACTGTATGGAGCTCGGCGATTGGAGCACTCAGGTACGTTGCACAGCGTGGTCGTGAAGGGCCGAGATGGTTCCGCCAGTCTGCCGAGCTCTGCTAATATAGCATGACGGTTTGGTTAGGTGGTGATTACAGGATTTGTGCTAACAGATGGGAGAGCAGCACCACGTGTCAAAAGACTAATAGGAGCAGATTTGGGCGCAGAAAGTATATAAGCGTGTCTGCGCCCCCAATGCTGGGGGAACATGATTTTGGTGAGAACAACCTAAACACTCAACTCTCCTCTCTCTATCTACTTCAGTGTGTGCTAACTTGACCGTCGGAGGGGTTTTCCAACCACACACCGCCGGGTAGCTCACCGCTGTTGTGTTCGCAGGTCGATCGGATAGGCAGGGAACTTGGAAGAAAGGAGTACAGGCATCACCGAATATCTGCTCCCCGTACAATTGGCACCGTCTGTGGGAAACTTGATAGACAAAACCTTGTCTTCCAAGCTCATCTGATCGCCTACCATGGCGAACAACGACGAGATACCGTTGTCCGCCATCGACGGAGTTACCCCGGGGTCAGCTAGACGGAGAGACGGGCTCCCCGCCATTCCATCCATGGCGGACCTAGAGACTTCTCCAGGTGGACATTCAAGAGACGCGCAATATAAGCGCTGGAGGAGTTTTGGTCACTCTCGGAGCCTAGACGGACATCGGTAGCGGAGAGACTCACAAGCCAGACGTCTGGAACACAAGTTAAGGGACCAAGACGCCGTCATCCGGAGAATGGCGGCGGAGATAGAGGATCTCAAACGGCAAGTTAAAGGGAAGGGTGTTGCTGGAGTGGGAGACCACAGTGAGCACACCCAACCACGCCGTTCAGGCAGTCAGAGCCAGCGGCACACTCCCTCCCTTTCTATCACCAGAAGCTACAGGGTTGGAGAGTCCGACGCGCCTTAAAAGAGGTCTAGCGCGCAAGACAATACCTATCAGCCCTCACATCCGGCGACGACGTCGAGGTATTCCTATTCCGCTTGCTCAGAGAACTTGCGGGCAGTCTTGAAGGAGCGGGCTCGCCGGCGAGAAACTTAGAGGGTGCCGGCGCTCCAGCGGCTATCTTACGAGGGTCGCGCCAGTGAGGGGGTCATAATGCCACCACCCCGCCTAGCCGTGCCTCTCCCTCTAGACACAGATTTGGCGAGGCTGAGCACCACTCCCTTCTCCTTGGAGATAGAAACAACACCGCTCCCCGCAGGCTTCCACCAGCCCAAGTTTATGCTCTACGACGGAAAGACCAATCCGTACATGCATGTAAGCCACTTCCGGCAGGTCATGGCCGGACACAGGCATAATGACGTTCTTATGTGCCTTATCTTTCCTTCGAATTTAGGTGAGCTGGCCTTGAAATGGTTTGAGAGGTTGTCGGAGGGAAGCATCGAAAGGTGGCAACAGTTGGCCGAAGCATTTGTGACTCGTTTCAAGACCAACACAAAGACGCCAAATGAGGTGGACCACCTTCTCAGTGTCAAAATGGAGCCGAGCGACACACTCAAGGCATACAACTCCAGATATTGGGAAACTTTCAATAAGATTCTAGATTGCCCGATCAACCTGGCAATCACCCAATATAAGCGCGGTCTCCTAGTCGGACATAGGATACGGGACTCGCTTACCATGAACCAGCCGACATCCATGGGCCAACTCATGCAGCGTATAAACGAGCACATCCGAGTAGAGGATGATGCGGCGGCTTCCATCGCGAAGACAACTCCGGCGGTAATAG